AATTCCACTATACTGTTGAGAGGGGATAGAGATAAGAGCTTTTAAGGTTGTTGTTTACAATTTTACGATGATGAGTTGCTAGAAAATCCTTGTTGTAGTAAATCGCGCAGTGTTTCCAATGTCGAAATATAAACATTCTATGACTTTATGAATGAAAGTGCGTTTATTAGTTATGTGGCCCAAATCACACACTGTGAAAAGGGGTATGTACTAATTTACTTTCATGTTTATGTATTTATTTATTGAATATTAAGGAATAATAATTACTAACGACCATAATAGCTTTAGCTAGTACTTCGATGATGATACAAAATAAAATGTAAATACAGCAAATTATTGCTTTTACATTAAATATATATGGTCTAAAAAAGCGCTAATGTTTTTAATTAAATTATTATGTACTTTAAGGTAAATAGATATGAAGTCGACCGCATTTTCTATAAAATACTCGATAGATCGGTATGTGCACGTTTGATTTTTAGTTTATAGTGATAAGCAAGAAAATTAAAGTTAATCAAAATTTCCCTTTTTTGTGTGCTTTAAAAAAAAAAGACACATCAATGGGACCAAACCCATTTTAAAAACCATAAAATTTTATACAAAAAAGTTTTTACGCATTTTTCCGTCTATATAACAGTTTCTTAGTTTATTAGCTTTTAAAATTTAGAAATACTTTCTTATGATTAATGAAAAATCGATTTTATAATAAAAACTTTTTCCTCTTCTACTGACCCATTAAAACCCAAGTCGTCAGATTTTATGTTGTTTGTATATCGTTTGTTAAAAATATTCAATGTATGTTGTATGAAATGAAGATACTATACTTAGGATTGTTTAATTCTCAATTTCAATTTTAAATTTTTAAGTTTTTCATTATAATAATGTTGCCCGTAAAAGTACCTATCGCTTTACTAGTTATCATCTTCCAAAATCGATTTGCGGAATGTCTCCAAAAAGCAGATGAACGGTTAATTAGGCATATTGTGCGAAACTTGTCATTAATTGTGTGTAAATAATTAACAAACAATTAAATTTAAATTGGAGAATTTGACAAAGAAGAAAAACCTCTTTATTACGGAAGTTGTCCCTTCTGAGTTCATCATTTATGTTTATTATTTTTTTGTGAAAAGATTGTTCAAATTATTTTTGTTAAGTATTTTTTTTTTAGAGATGTGCAAAATGGTTTTTGAAGTACTTTAATACAAAATGTAAATACTTTTTCGATTTGTTATTTCAAATGTAAAATGAATTTTTGTATTTTAAATGCTAAAGGCAAAATACGTATTTTCAAAATACTTTTTTCAAGTTTTATACTTTTCTGTTTTTGCGATTTTTGATTGCGATATAGTTTTTCTATCTTAATGTTATGGTTTCTTCAGTTCAACAACAAATAATTCTTCTCTAAGCTTTTTTATTTGCCTTTGTCACCCGTTTTAATTAGAAAAACGACACTGATGTCAAAATGGTTTGTTTGTATGAAAGATCAGAGCCAAAATAGGGTTGCAAATAATTTGATTGATGTATAATCGACATCAATCATTTTATATCAAAATACAATCCAATTTTGCTTCTGATCTTTTACATATTTTAATAAGAGAAAGAAATTGAATCCATAGTTTCTTTAGCTTTGGGTTCATCTAATAAGTGAAGTTTTTCGAATTGTTTTCTAAGAATTTTGGATTGTATGCATTTATTAGCACACCACAGTATCTTGAAGTTTTCAGTTTTACACAGCTGGCGTATATAAATTCGATATTGTTTTGCCGGCTGTTTTGTTGTAATTCATAGAATTTCGTAGTGTTTTACTAAATATACGATAAGCGGTGATTTGAAGTGCTGATATCAATTTGGAACTGCAAAATTCCATGGACCATGAAATTGAACCCGGAAAACATTGTCGATCCAAAACTTAAGATTATCCATTTTTAAGGAGTTTAGAATTTTTTGGGCTCTCTTCATTTAAAGACTTACAGTAGAAGGCATACGTGGAGTGTTTCTTTGTCCCCCTTTTAAGCTTCTAATACCTTCAATGACCAATGTGCGCAACTTTAATTCATCATTTTATATAATATTTGATCGGTGATACTAGTAAAACTTTTACATTTTACAAAGTATTTTAAATGAAGTACAAAATGCTTTTCTCGAAAAAGTCATCTTAAACAACACAAAACAGTTCTATACGTGTGGAACNGAGGTGCTAAGGCGTCCCAAGAAGCGGATAATGTACTTATTATACAAGACAAAAGACTTGTCTCGATGCGTGGAAAAAAGTATTTACAGGTATAATAAAAGTTAATACATGTATATATTATTTTGATAATTATTTGTCAATCAGAAAAGCTATTGAAATTGATCATTAACTACTATAGAAGAGTAGGCATACATTAATTGTTGAATTGGCAAACAAGTAACAACAATCAAGCTGTTGGTAATTTTTGAAATGTTTTATCAGTTAACTTTGTTAGCAATATAGAAGGGAATTATTAAGTCTAATTTTTTTTTTTGGGTAAATTTGACGAATATTTATTTCAAGTTGCTTTAATGGAGAAGATATGCATTATATCTTTTTATTTAAAATTTTCTTTAATTTAAGGATTATGCTTTCGGTTCATCCTCCCCATTATCGTATATTTAAAAAACATTAAACAAACGCCCACATGATTAATGATTCTATTCTATATTCCACTATTATTATCATCATAGGGTTGCCACTTCAACGACTGGTTTGACATGCATCTGTAGTTTTTCCATTTCTACATCTTTGACTATTTGCGAACGATAATTCAATCATCTTGGTCTTCTCCTACCCCTCTTTATTCCTGTCTAGTGTGTAGGTATAACTTTTCTTTTTCCAATGCGTCCTCTGGTCTCTCATTTCTTCCAATATCTCATTTCTTTTCCTCAAAATTTTTTTTCCACATCATGTCCTGTAAAATCTCTGAGCAATCACAAGTTTGTTTTTGATATTTTTAAATAATTTTTGTTAAATTTAATTTAGGTTGCCAAAAATAGGTACTCTGGTGATTTGGGTATAATGGCATTAGAGTTTGATAAAGCAGGGCTCAGTTATGCGTCCAAAAAGAAAAAGAAAATAACCGAGAAGGGTGAAGATGATGAAACCAAGGATCACCAACCATCTCTACATTTGTAATTTAAGAGTGTGTGAATCAGTACACAGAATGCTATATATTCAACAGTGAATATGACATTAAATTTTATACGTTATTATTTGTTATATTTTTTACCAAACTTTAAATACATAAATATTGTAATTAATTTGTAATTTTCCTTTCCCCTTTCCCTTGTTTTTTTAATCAGGTAATTATAATCACTTTAAAAAGTAATAGGTGCCATCATAGCTTTTTTATCTTATTGTGAGTTTGCGCTATGTTAAAAGGACTATAAAAGTGTGAAAATGGTCCTCATAACACCGAGCTGTATGTTTTCTAAAAAATCTTATGAAATTTGTATTTGACAATTTTTTGCAGTTAAATTTTAAATTGCGCGAAACGAGGTACCAATATTTTTCTTTATAGAGTTTTATACATTTAGGAAAAACATATTGTTGTTTTTAATTTAAAAATAACATAATTAGAACGTTAATTTCTATAAATATTATCAAATCTTATCGCAACAAAATTTGCTTAATTTTTTCTTAATAATTTCTATTTCTTCCTGTAATTTATATATATGTGAAAAGTTACATTATGTTTAAACCAATAACTTTTCATCTCTATTGGCAATAATTTTTCACA